AATCACATTTAAATTTATAATTTTGTTTAAAAATTTTTTGTTTACCTTATAAACTTTTAATATATAAATATAAATGAGTAATTTTAACATTCAAAACATTATTTGACAAATCTGTCAAATTGAAAAACATTCATAAATATTCTATTTAAAAATTTAAATTAATCTTCCTTAAAGTTTATAAAACAAAATATTAATGAATATTTTTTTAGCTATTAAAACTTTAATGTGTTTTAAGCACTTTTATGTAATTTGAAATGTTAGCCTGTTAGTACCAAAATAGGAAATGTCAAAAATATTGAAATGCTTTGCTTATCAAAGTAAAATTACTCTGATAAATGCAGTTAAGTGCACATCTTTTGTAAACTAACCATACATATAATCTGAAATCTTTCAGATTAATTCTGTCAGGATTTTAACTATTTATTTTGTTCAAAGTTCTAATAAAGTTTAATCTCAAATATTCTGTAGTCTACAGTATGTTTTAAAAAAACATTATTTTGTGCATTATACAATTAAGATTAATCTAGACAAGTAGAAAAGTTAAAATTTCAATGTACAGAAGAGCAAATGAAACTTAGTAAAGTCTTAAATATTAGTTTAAATTTTCAGTACTGATGCAGTTTAACATTTCTCATTTCTTCTGTTACATTTTTTAATTTTAAATTTTTTCACACATATATATATATACTGTATTTCAATAAATATATGTAAGTATAGTGATTCATTTGCCAGTAATGGCAATTTTTTTCTTGAGAAAAATTAAATTTATTTAGTTTCTTGTATAAAAGAGTATAGTAACTGTGATATGTAACAAAACATAAAATTAACAATAGTAGCCTAATGACATATGGAGACATCGACCTACTGCTATGAGGGATTGGAACTGGATTTGAATCTGGATCTCCCACATAAGTTATTGTGGGTGTTGGGATGTTGTTTTCTATCCAGTTGCTCATATTGGCCAATCCCAATGCAGGTCAGACCCAGCTATAATTTACAAAACTGAGACCACCTATATAGTCTATGCAAAGCAAAGTCCCACAAGACAAATCCTACCTAATTCTACAAATAATTTGAAAATTTAAAAATAAAGCAAATATACAATGAACCCCAGTATTATAATTTCTTATATTTGTATTTAATTTGAATAATTCACAAATAAAAAATCATTTTTATACAGTTTAATTTAATATATATCTTATTTTGAAACTGTTTAGAACCTAATAAAACGCAATAAAAATTTTAAGATATATAAGACATTTAGAGTATTAGAAGACGACTTGCAAAACATAGTTTCAAAGCTTGTTAACTATCACAGAAAATTTCTGTAACCTGAAGATTTGTTAGTAGAAAGTGTAAAGAAAATGTAATAAATAGTTTCAATAAGTCAGACAATATCTGTAAAAGACAATCTAAATAATGAATGACATAATCATTAATTTTAGATAAACAAGAAAAAGCAGAATTTTATAACTTGTTTGTAATATAATTTGTCTATTGTATTTATTCATTAATATTATATTTATATATATATTTATAGAAATTAAACAATAAACTATGTTTCAATATATTTTTCATACTCCCATTACTTTCAAACAAATATATGTTTGTATGTCATTTAGATTCTTCTTATTTACTTTTCAAAATATACACAATTTATTCTGTAACCTAAAGATTTGTTAGTAGAATATACTGTCTTATTTCATGTTTATTTTAAAATTTTTCTAGCTGAAAATTATTAAAAGCAAATAATTGAATTTTATTATGGAATATTCAAAAATAAAATATTTGACACTTAATGTGTTTCTAGTATTTTTTTTATTTTTTACAGAAATAATTGAAGCATGTAATAAAAAGAAGACAATATTAACAAACTTCTTTAAGAGAAAAGTTTTTGATAATAATTATTCTATTGTTTAATTCACATGATATAAAGAATTTAAGTGTCAATGCACTAACAGTAAAAATATTATATTGTGTTTTCTGCATTATATCCAAAATTAGCTACACAAAAATTTGCATTAAAGATTATACATATAAAACAAGAGATTTACCCATAAAAAGAAAACTGTTGAAACTTACATTCTTAAGACTTGATAATTACACTTTAAGATATATGAATCTATGCTGCTGTTATAATAAATGTTGAATTTAAATATTAGAATAAAGTCAAATTTGCAATGATTCACAACAGACTTACAGATTTTACTCAAACACTAAACTTTTATAACAGGAATATAGTCTTTAATCAATAATTTAACAAATATGTAAATTAATATATTTCAGTTACATAATACTTATATAAATTTGAACATTATGCTAATAATCTGATTATTCTGATTTTCAAATGGTCAAAAGGATACAAAAGAAAATCCTCATTGCACAAATCTAATAACAGTTTATAATGCATTTTGGTTGTCAATGAGAAATTAGTCTACATTTCAAGCAATTAAAATCGTTAAAATAAATGATAACTTTTCATCAAGAAAGATTTTAAAATACAGAAAATAATAATCTATCATAGTAAAATCTAACATTTTAATAGTGAATAAAAACAAATCCAAATTAATAAAAATATAATCAAAGAACTTATTACATACAAAAAACTTCATAAGAATCAGTTAAAATGAATAATTGTTGGAGTATTTTTTTGATACAAAAGGATTTATAAATTATTTATTTATCCCATTATGTTCTATAGGTAACAAAAAATACATGAAAGTTTCATGTAAATTGAGAGATGCTTTCTACAGTAAACACCCAAATAAGTGGGAGGATAAAGACTGAAAATTATTACACAATAATACATCTAGTCATCAACTAGTTACATTAGAAGAGGTGTTAACAAACTACAGCATGGTCGTTTTACCTAGGACCTTGTATCTGCTCTGTCACTCCCTGTATAATATCCTCATTTTCTTATTATAAAAAGTAAAAATTGTGGTGAAACCATTTTAAAAATAAAAATGAAACAAGGAAGACTATTAGGGAAACATTATGTTAAACAAGAGCTGTTTCAAAAATATTCCAACAAACTGTATCATATTGGAATAAAGGCATTGCCACAAATGACAAATATTTTAAAGTAATTTGTGCTTAATGTATAGATTTAATTTTATATAAATAGATGATTTAGTGACAAAATGTTACAGAACTGATACAGAGCATCAATTCTGAAATGTTTAGTCCTCAGAGTATTATAATAGTTTCTGTTAGCAATACTTAAATTGAATCAAACATTTTCATTAAAGAATTTGTTTATCTAGTGCATTCAAATGTTCAGTCTTTATATTGTAGCAATGAATCTGTTCATAATCTGTGACTCTCAATATTTTTATTTAAAAAATACAAAGGAAAAAATCCTCATTGCACAAACCTAATAACAGTTTATAATGCATTTTCATATACAATTCTTATGTTTTAAATATAGTCAATAAATATCTCACCAAGTATAATATTGTATTACTTGCATTATTATTATTAGAAACATATTTTTATATGAACATATGAGAATAATCTCTTATAATCATGAAAGATATTTTGGAAGCTCTCTGAAAATTCACAATTTTCTACATTCATTAATATCTGCTGCAATTATTGATATATTTTACATTAACTTAGATATAACAGATGACAACAGGATGAAGATCCATAAAAATTAACCTTAACAGAATAAAATATATTCCACATTTTTCATAATTAGAAAAAGTTACTATTAATTATTTTGTTTCTTGGTTATTACTATTAAAAACTGTTGTTATTTGCTTAATTTGTAATCAAATTTATAATCCTTGTTAAAAATATATTTTACTCATTAAAGATTTGCTTCTAGTATAAATTACATTGAAACTACTGATATATCTACAATTTCTTCATTTTTTCTCAGATTTCTTTCTAAGCATCTGTAATTTATATATTTTGTTGTACATAAATCTTGTGATAAGTGATAAACTCAAATTAAAAAAAAAAATGGTGTAAAATGCTATTTATTTGTTTAGATCTTTTAAATATAGCTAATAGATTTTATTAGTAAAGAGTGCATTGCTTTTCACAAATTATAGTATCAAATTCAATATGCTATAATAAAATATTTAATAAATTTGAAAATACAATCCTTAATTACTTTGATGGTAAAAATCTATTCATCTTGTCACATTATAATCATTTATAAGCATGAACTGTTGAAATTTGAATAGAATGAATTTGATACAAATTTACTTAATAGGATTTAAAATAAATTGTATACATTAGTTTTATATAGCTCAAATCTTCATTAAATGTTAAAGTTTTAGAAATTTTATTTTTGTTCTATCCTTAAAAATTATTCCTAAAATTCTCTCAATTACTAATCTGATTTCAATTTAATGATTGATATTATCAATGAGATAATTGAATAATTTCCATTTTAGATAAGCAAAATTATAATATTCTGTAAAATCCACTAACAATATACTTATTTTTTAATAACTGCATTGGAAAATTATAATTTTACTTTAGTTACTTTACATTAAACAGAGTTTTATTTTATCTCATTTTTTTATGTGCAAATAACACATTTTATGTAGAAAATTTGTTTGTAAAAGATGTGGTATATTTATCATTATAAAAATATTATAATGGAAAATATAATGATGATCTTATTATTTATATTTAATCACATGCTTCTTACAAAATACATCTGTTATTCATTTATTTGGATTTATTGGTAAAATTATGAAATAGTTTTAGTTTTTAAAAGTGTCTTAATAAATCCTTTAATAATAATAATAACATTTTTTATTAATAAAAATGATTTTTAAATATTCTAAGGCTTGTGTATTTTGTTACATTTCTGATTACAGAATTACAAATTGAAGTTATCAAATGTGTTAACTAGTTTATAAGAATTTGAATAATTGTTAAGAATTTTATTGTGCTTTCATATCATTTTAAATATTTAAAACTATGACAGTCTATAAAATCAAAATAAAATCTATAATGTCTAATTATTAATAACTTACTGGCTCGTGACGCCGTAAAATGCACCTGTTTCATCTTGAATGTTTGTGTTTAGGTCAGCCTGAAAAGATGTAGGTTGAATTAAAATCAATAATAATTTATTAAAAGATAAAAAGAATAAATTTCAAAAAAAACAAAATAAAAAATCTACCCAAAATTTCACCAAAAAGAAGGCATTTTGTGGTCCTTTATCATACAATTCTTTAAGCCCACCTTTCTTTTCAGGAAACTTATCATAAATTTGCCTAATGTCTACTGCCTAAGAATGAAAATAAAAATAAAATACATAAAAGTTAAGAATAAAATAATTTTAAGCTGAAATTAAATGAACTTACTTCCAAGGGTGGGTCTGTAAAAACAGATAAACCTCCTATGTGGACAAACAGATGTTTATGATACTGTAAAAAAAAAATGAGTAATTTTTATTACAAATAATAAAATAAATATTTAGAGGATCAAACAACTTGTACATTGTCTGGATCCCTCTGCTGTTCCATAAAAGCGGAAAATTCTACGAGACGGAGTTTTTGCGTCGCAATGGATTTATTGTCCCAAGTCTGAGAAGGAGGATGATTGAGGAGATCAACACCAGTCATGGAGGCAGTGACGGGAGGTTTCGGTGGAATGGCATATGGTTGACCAGCAAACGGCTTAATACTGAATAAATATAAAATGTTCAAAGTTATAATTTCAAAGAATGCACATAAAACTACAAAGTTTAAAAAAAATCTAATTATTTTTTTTAAATTTTTAACACAGTTTTTTAAATTATTTTCTAAAGTTATGTATATATAATATATAATATACATATACATACAAATATATATATATATATA